TACATTCACTGAATAAGTAAATGGATGAACAAAATAATTTCTTCTATTAGCTGCTTTATTTTATTTTATTTCATTTTATTTTATTTTTTTGGTACCAGGGATTGAACTCAGGACCATGCTCTTGCAAAGCAGGTGCCTATGCCACTGAGCTAAATCCCTGGCCCAGCTGCTTTATTTTTTCAATGCTGGGGATCAAACCTAGGGCCTCACACATGCTAGGCAAACTGCTCTATAGTAAATCCCCAACTTAAAAATGAGTTCCATTCCAGAAGAATGTTTATGAGTTGGTTTATTCTTTTTTAAGCTGTTTTTTTTTTTTTTTTTTTTTTTTTTTTGGTATCAGTGATTGAACTCACGGCCTTATGCTTGCCAAATAGGCAGTTGTGCCACTGAGCTAACTCCATGGCCCTTGTTGATTCATTCTTAAGTCCAACAAGTGAGTCTTATCCTGTATTTTCACTTTGTTTCCATGGTTATTACTTTGCGCTTCCTAGAAGTCCCCTCTATATCACCTTTGGTTTTCCTATTGCTTCAGGACATCCTGGGCTCTGACTGGGCACTGTACTACTGTAAACTAAGCACACAGCAGCACAACTATGACAATGTCTGCCAGGCATATGACCTACTTCCATGATTTGTTCCCATCTACAAATATTTGTAATGTAAGCTCAGTTCTTATCTGTGAAAGTTCTTGAGCCAAAGTTTTGGAAGTTGGGGACACACTGCACCTTAGAGCTACAGCCCTGACTAACTCTGTCATCCTCAACACTGTTTGGTTAGGTTTAGAAAGCAGTTGATAGGCTGGGACTGTACTTTCATAATAGAGATTGCCTAGCATAAGGCCTTGGGTTCAAGGGGGAGCAGGGTCAGAAGCCAGGCTGCGTGGATTTGGAAACCAGTTTTACCACTCACGATCTATGTAAACTTAAGTAAATTGTTCAATCTGTCTGTGTCTCAGTTTTCTCTATAAAGAGAGGATACTAACATATATTACCTAATAAGGTTAGTGTGTGGTTTGGAAGACAACATATTTAAAGTGTGCAGAACTAAGCCTGGCACTTAAGTGTTACATAAGTGACAGCTACTGTCATTAATCTATGTCATCCATCTCTCCACTCACATTTTTTGAACTCTCCCACTAAGCCTCATTATCTTATTTTCTGTCTATGACTGTAGATGACTCAGTGTAATTTGCAGAGTAGGTCAAAAAGTTTTGTTTTTAAAAATTTTTATTGTGGGAATTTTCACTATGGGAGTAGTAAGAGGATAATGAACCTTTGTAACAAGCTTCAACAATCATCAACATTTGGCCAATCTTTGTTCATCTATACTCCCTCTTTCCTCTCTTTACAGGAATATTGTAATTTAAGTCCCAGATGTCATATAATGTCTGAATATACTCCAATATGTATCTCTAACAAATAAGGCCTTACCCCCACCATGATACCATTATCACTCTTTAAAGTAAGTAATAGTTACAAAGTGCTTTAAAAAAAAAACTCCATTCCTTTGAAAGATGCAGCAAGAACTGCAACCCTGGATTCATGGCAGATGTGAAGTGAAGAGATGCCAAGACAGTGGGTAGGTAAAGTGTTCTGAACAGGGCAAGCAAGACACAGTGTATAGTTAAGTATTGCTTCTCTTGCATTCTTTCTATTTATCCACTCTAAACGCCCCCAAACCCTTTCTTGTTTCCAGGCTGCGAGCATGGATAGCCATTACAAAGGAGGACATGGAGCTCAGGTTGGTGAGTTTCTTGAGTCACTGGAGCCTTGGGTTGGGAGCTGGGACTCTCATGGGGGCACCAAGTAGGACGCAAAGGAAGCAGTGCAGCTGCCGGTGTCGCTCAGGGGTACAGAAAGTGCAAGGCCCTGGGTTCAATCCCCAGCACCTCAAAACCAAACCAAACCAAAGCAAAAGCCAGAGCAGCAAATTAGGAGGTTTGGAGGAGTGGCCAGAGGTGGGGAAGTTAAGGAAGGAGGAGCCCTGCACTGTGTGATATGGGGCTGATAAAATACAGTAGCCGAAAGATAGCAAACAGAGTCAGTTCTTCATGCCCACTCTGCAGGGCCACCTGGTGTCACTGTGAGCCCAGAAGCAAACTCAGGCTGGCATGTGCTAGCCAAGGGCTCTACCACTGAGCTATGCCCACCTGGTTGTTTTTTTTTTTTACAATGAATTCTAACAGACGGTCTTATTGAGTTGCTCAAACTTGTAATCTTTTTGCCTCAGCCTCTGGAGTAGCTGGGATGACAGGTATATACCATGAAGACCCAGCCCTTGAGCTGTTCTTTACAGCTCATTAAGGGGCAGCTCCCTGCAAGAGTAGCTGAGAGTGGCTTCGCTTTATTTTGAGTTCTCCAGGGTTATGGGTGGCTGTGGATCTTCAGCCATGCACAACTAGAATGGCCTTCTCAGGACACCAGAAGAAGCACTTTTCCTTTCAGTAGAATCTTCCCTAGTCACTTTTCCCCCCTACTCATTCTTTGGGTACAGGAGACACCTGTGCTCCATCCACCCTATCTTAGTCCTTGTGTGCTGCCATGCAAAATGCCCCAGACTGGCTACTTCCTTATCAAGAGAAATTTCCTTCTTATAGTCCAAGCCGGAGGTCCATGATCAGGAGGCCAGCAGACCTCTGGGAGGGCTGCTCTTTCACTGCAAAGCAGCAGCCTAGTTGGTGGCGCCCCTCAGAGGGTAAAGAATGCAACATCCTTACAGGGTACAAAAGCAAAGAACAGGACCTAAACTAGCTGCCTAAAGACTTTCCCTAAGGCATGAAGCCACTTAGGGTGGAGCCCTCAGACTTTCATTGCTTTCCAGAAGGCTCCATCTCGTAATACTGCCTCCTGATAAGGGGGTTTATTTCCACACTTGGCTCCAGGAGAAGATGTGATTCAAACACTTGTGCAAGGTAAACAAGTGCCTTCATGCCCCAGTTTCTTCTATTTCATCCCCCTCATTTCCCACCCCTCCCTTCTTTTCAGCAATAAGCAGTGTGACCCAGTGAAAGAGAAATTTGTGCCCAGACTGACTTGGTATTGAATTCTGGCTCAGTATTTCCTAGTTGGGGAACCTTAGGCAAAGTCGCTTTATCTCGCTGAGCCTCAGTTTCCATGTCAGAATACTGAGAATAAGAGTAGCATATGAAAGGGTTCTTAACACCATAGTCATTTAAACCAGGACAATAGCCCATCTGTGGGGTAAAATTCCCCACGTCTTTTTCTTTAGCAGTGCTGGGATTGAGCTCAGTTCCTTTGTACTGAGCTACATCCCAGGTCTTTTTCAATTTTACTGTTTTATTTCTTATAGACAAGGTCTTGCTCAGTAACTAAATTGCCCAGAGTGAGAATCTTGTGATCTTTGTGCCTCAGCCTCCCAGAGTGAAGGGACTATCGGTGTGTGCCACCAGGCCAGTTCCCAGCTCTTTTTTATTTTTGAAAAAAGGTCTCACTGTGTAGTTCAGGCTGGCCTTGAATTTACTTGTAGCCCAGGATGGCCTCTCAGAGATCCTCCTGCTCCAGCCTCCCCAGTGCTAGGATTACAGGCATGCACCATCATACCCAGCAAATATCAAATATTAAAATATTACATGCTTAATTAGTGCCTTGAAGAATTATAAGGTTCATGTTCTTTATTATCTTTTTTTTTGTCTTTTTTCCTTTTCATCGGTACCAGGAATCGAACTCAGGACTGCCTGCTTGCAAAGCAGGCGCTTATGCCACTGAGCTAAATCCCCAGCCCCCATGTTGTTTATATGTACGAGAATAACTGTTTTGGGCTAACTTCCTACTTGCATTACCCAAGCAAGCCACTTGGAGTAACTCATATTTCCCTGTATCTTGAATTTAGGGAAAATAACAACCGAACTTTACACGTGGAAATACTATGGGTATTTTATAATTTTAAAACGTTTTTAAGTACGCATGTCTACATCATCATATGCCCCATTATGCCATCTGGTGAACGCTTAGTCATTTTTCACTGCGAAATGTTTCCACCTTGGGTGAGTTCTTCTCTTTTTATGCTTGACCTTTTTTTTCTTTTTGGTACTGGTATCGAACCTAGCCCGTGCACTGAGCTACATGTTCCACCCCACCCCACCTCCATTTTTTTTTTTTTTTTGAGACAGGGCCTCCCTATGTAGTTCAGACTAGCCTGGGACTCACTACTTAGCCCAGGCTGGGCTTGAACCTGCAGAAATCCTAGGGTCTCAGCCTCCGAGCGAGCGCTGGGATTATAGACGTGCTTGACCACTCCTGGCTTCTTTTGTTCTCTTTTGTCTTTTTGAGAAAGGGTTTCCGCTACGCAATTCAGGCTGACCTTGAATTCTCAAGCTATCCTCCTGCCTCAGACTCCCCGAGTTCTGGGATTACAGACATACTCCTCCACACCCGGCTTTTTCTCTTATATTACACTATATTTTATTTTATTTTTTGAGACAAGATTTCACCATGTAGTTGAGGTTAGCTTTGAACTCACGTAGCTCAGGCTGACCTCAAACTCGCGGCGAGCCTCCTGTTTCAGTTTCAGGATAGTTGGGATTACAGAGTACGCCACCACGCCTGATTCCCCATCCCTTTTTAAAATTTTGAGAGAAGGTCTCTTAAATTGCTAAATTGCTCAGGGTAGGTTCGAATTTTTGAGCCTCTCAGTGTTGAGATCTTTGTTCTTACAAACGCTTCCTGCCATGTTAAAAGGCAGGGACTCCAGGCGTCTAAATTCAAACTGCGCCCAGCGATCAGGGGAGGAGCGGTGGAAGTCGCCACCGCAACACCAATGACTGACATTACATCAGGCAGTCTCCTCTACTCACAAGACGGCACGGGCATACACAGACCCAGTCCCACACTCGCCAATAAACTGAAGCATTTGGGGACTATTAAACATGCAAAAAAAAAAAAAAAAAAAAAATCATAGGATGACGTCATACACTCTGCGCCGCAGGCGACTCCGACTGCCTCTCAGCGTCAGCGCGCGTAGGGGCAGGCGCACGACCTTCGTGGGCGGGGCTCAGGCAGTAGTGTCCTGGGGCTGCGGATTGGCGTTTCGAGACTGACGCTGGGCTCCGACTCCACGTTTGCGCAGGATCTTGCGTGGGGCGGGAGCAAACGGAATTCAAACTCGGCGGGATAGCGAGAATCGAAACCGAGGGTCATGGAGTCTTACGGTTTGGCGGAAGCTGAGCCCTTGAACTCAAAGCAGGCTTCCCTTTATATGAGGTATGTGTGGACCGCCCGGCGGGTGTAGGTCGTGGACTGTGGCGCAGGGTGGGAGGGACGGGCCCATAGACCCTCCCAGGACCCCAAACTATTCAAGCAGGGCTTCGAGAAATGCGCGCCGGCAACCTCGGAGTAGGCCCTGAGATCAGCCCTGGACGCTGCCTCCATCCCTCACCCCCCATTTTTGCCAAATAATCCACCATATGAGTTTTTTGTTTTTTTGTTTTTTTTTTTTTTGAGAACCAGAACTTCAATTTGAGTCTTTCCAGTCTACCAAGCCCCAGGCATACGTGGTAAAGAGATGAATAAAACAGGCCCCTAGTTGCCAAATTGCATATAATCCAGATTGAAATGCAAAGGAACCTTCAAACCAATACAATACTTCTTTAATGTTTGCTAATTCTTGGTAGTCTAATGTTCTGGATGGAGAACGGTTAACTGTATTGTCTGTGGTTTGTGGATAGGGCGTCACTGTGTACCCCAGGCTAACTTCGAACTAACGGCACACCTGCTTCCTGCCTCAGTCTTCAGAGTGCTGGGTTTACGGGTGTGTGCCACCACCATGCCCGACTTGGAAGGATTTATGATATATATGTTGATTGATCCTTTTTTATTTTAGATTTTAAAATATAGTATAAAAATCCGTGTAGGTTTTTTTTTCCCTTTGACACAAGGTCTTGCTCTGTAATTCAGGCTCATCTTGAACTCACTCCAGGCTGGCCTCGAACTTGTAGCGATCCTCCTGCTTCAGTGTCGAATGGCCAGCTGTAAAAGTCGCTGAGCAAAGGGAAAACTTCCCCAGAAGGAAGGGGAAAAACGAATAAGCATTCTCAACACTGTGTTGAGAAACAAATAAGTATTCACCACGTGGTTGGATGAGGTGCCCACGTGATGGTGTGGAAATGAGTGTTTGTTTTTTTTTGTTTGTTTTTTTTATTAAGAGTAGGAAAATTGGGCCGGCAATATAGCTCAGTGGCATAAGTGCCTGCATGGCAAGCGCCAGGTCCTGAGTTTGATTCCCAGTACACAAAAATAAACAAAAAGAGTAGGAAAATTTATTGGGGAAAAAGAATGGAGAGGGAATGAGCATTTTTATTTTTAAAAAAATTATAGTAAAATACACGTAAGATTTACCTTAACAATTTCAATGGTGTTTATTGTTGTATAACTCTTAACCTTGCAAAACTAAAACTACAGTATAAACAACTTACCATTTTCCCCTTCCCCAGCCTGTAGCATCGTTCTTCTGTATGAATTTGACTGCATTAAAGACTTTATTTAAGCAGGATCATTCTGTACTTGTCACGGTCTGACCTGTTTCCCTTAGTACAGTGTCCTCAATATTCATCTGTTATATCATTTTATAAGGATCCTGTTTAAGGCTAATAGTTCATTGTATGTACATTCATGCATTTTGTTTCTGTTTTTGTTGTCTTTTTTGAGACAGTGTCTGGCTATGCAGTTCAGGCTGCCCTTGAGCTCACTTTTTGTAGGTCAGGCTGATCTTAGACTTACAATACTCCTCCTGCCTCAGCCTCCCAAGTGTTGGAATTACAGGTGTGCATTTATCTGTCAGTGGGCATTTAGGTTATGTCTATTTTTTCCCTTTTTTTTGTGGTACCAAGGATTGAACCTAGGATCTTCACACTGAGCAACATCCCCAGCCCTTTTTTATTTTGAGATAGAGTCTGACTAATTGTTAAATTGCCCTTGCTAGGCTGGAATTTATGTTGTGTCTCAAGCCTTTCTGAGTGCTATGATTACAGGCTGTTTCTATATCTTGCCTTGTGAATGATGCTTCAGTGAGCATGGAACTGCAGATGCCTCTTTTTTTATAACTTTTTATTAGTATGTGTTTGCAGTACATAATGATTACATTCATTGTAGGGATTTGGTACATGTATATTGCAGATATGCCAAGCATACTGATTTTAAATGCTTAGCTATATACCTAGAAGTGAGATTGTTGAGTCATACAGTAGTTGTATTTTTAAAATTTTTTGGAGACAGCATCTTGCTATGTAGTTCAGACTGGCCTTGAATTCACTATGTAGCCCAGGCTGGCCATGGGACATGAGGCAATACTCTTGCCTCAGCTTCCTGAATGAGATATGTGCCATCATGCCCAGCTTCTTTTCTTTTTTTGAGACAGGGTGTCACTATACAGTGCATACTAGCCTTGAATTTGGTTATGTTGCCCAGGCTGGTCTTAAACTCACAGTGATCTTCCTGTCTCAGCCTTCCAAGTGCTGGTATTACAGGTGTGCACCACCATGCCTGGCTGGCTTCTATTTTTAATTTTTAAGAGATGGTATCCTGGGGTCGGGGGTTTAGCTCAGCAGCATAAGTGCCTGCTTGGCAAACTCGAGATTGTGAGTTTGATCCCTGGCACCAAAAAAAAAAAAAAAAAGAGATGGTATCCTAAATTGTCTAGGCTAATCTTGAATTTGTCTCCTGCCTCAGCATCCTGACTAACTGGCATTACAGGCATGTACCAGTTGCCATGCCAGGATGCCTTTTTATATCTTTTTTTTAAATTGCTAGGCCTGTTGGCACCTATAATTTCATTTAAAAATTTTATTATTTAATTTAATTTTTTTGTTTAGGGTCTCACTGAACAGGCCAGGCAGGCTTTGAGTTCACTATGCATCCCGGGCTGGCCACAAACTCCTGTAATCCTCTTGCCTCAATTTCCTGAGTATTGGGATTACAGGTGTGCACCATGACATCTAGCATTTTGATTTTTTGAAATAGGTTCTCACTATGTATTTCAGGCTGGCCTTGAACTCACTGTGTATCCTTGAATTTGTGGTGGTCCTCCTGCCTCAGTGCCCTGAGTACAGGGATTATAGGCATTTGCCACCACACCTGATGATGCCTATAATCTTATTTTATTTTAGTATCAGGGATCAAACTCACAACTTTGGGCTTTATGGGAAGGCACTGTGCCGCTGAGCTATATTCCCACTCCTCCGATGCCTATAATTTTAGTACTCTGGGAAGGTGAAACAGGAAAATGTCAAGTTTGAGCCCAGCCTAGGCAACTTAGTGACTTAGCAAGGTACTGTCTCAAAGTAACAATGTAAAAAGGGGATGAGTTTGCCTCTCAGGACAAAGGCCCTGGTTTTAATTCCCCAGTACCACCCTCCCTCCCAAAATTATTGTGTACATAGTTGTCTTTTTATTGAGTTGATTATTTCCTTTGTATAGAATTTTTTTCCCTTGATACTAACATACAATCATTGTATTCACAAAACAGCCTGTTTTCACCAAGCAATTCAAATAGCTTGTTCATCAGCAAGCTAAGGTGTATGTGCTCAGGCCACTGGTTCCCCCTGGATACCCATTCCCACCAGAAGAGGGCTATACAAAGAAGAAGCAGTTTCGGAAATATGGAGACATAGGCTCCCCAGATCTGAACCAATGAATAGAACTTTCATTTTTTTCCAAAGTCATTGGTGTTGGTGTGGGACATCTCAGTCTGCTGCCTGTAGGTACAATACATGCCTAGGTCCTGAGGCTAAGTGGTTTGCTTTCTCCCTCCATTCCTTCCCCTTTGAGCTCTGAGGCAACTCTGCTTGTTTCAAACAGGGGCTTCTACACAGTGCCATCAGCATTGCCAATCCAGTCTCTGAATGGATTTTCCTGGCAAGCTGCACCTTTGAGTGATTGGAAAAACTCAAAAGAGGTTTTTTTTTTTTTTTTTTTGGTGCCAGGGATCGAACTCACAACCTTGCGCTTGCCAGGCAGGTGCTTACACTGCTGAGCTAAATCCCTGGTCTCAAAAGAGGTTTAAGTGATGGTGAAGTTAATCTGTAATGCACAAAAGTGTGTGTGTGTGTGTGTGTGTGTGTGTGATTCTGGGGATTAAAGCTGAGGTCCCGCACATGGTATTTACATACTCAGCCCTTTTAATTTTTTAGTAGTACTGACGATTGAATCCAGGGCCTTCACATTGACCTACACTCCCAGCCCTTTTTTTTTTTTATTTTGAGACAGGGTTTTACTTAGTTGCTAAGTTGTCTAGGCTGAGCTGAACTTGAGATTCTCCTGCTTCAGCTTCCAGACCAGGTGAGATGGCATGTACCATCATGCCTGGCTTGCACACATTTTCTTTGTGACATACCTTCATGTTCTGTCACATATGGTGATTCTTGTGTCACTCATGTTCTCCCTTGGTGGTGATATTTGACCATCAGCTCCTCTCTGAGCCATCCTGTTTGCTGTTCACACTCCCTATCACCCACCCACCATCTCCTCATCTGTACTGTTATGTAGCCTCTTGTGACACTTGCTTCTTCTTCATACTTTCATCTACTGGCTGGCTTTATTTCTTTACTTTGCCACCTTCTTGCTTTCTGCCATCCTACCTCTGTCACTCTGCCATCTTCCCCACTCTGTTCCCTTGTCACCCCTTCCTCCTTCTTGGTTACTCATGGTCTCCACTTCTGTCTCTATCATTCATTCTTTTTCTGTCACCCCTTCTTTCCCTGTCACCCAGTCTCATTTCCCACCTTCCTTCCCCCTCTTTCACTGTATCATTCTGGGTCTTGTCAGCACATAGAAACCACATAGTAAATTGAAACAGGAATTTTAGTATACAGATGAATGTGATCAGGTCTGAAAAAACCTAGGAGTGTACTCAGGCTAAAGTGATGCCTCAAGAAAGAGCAAACGGGGAGAGGGTATGGATAAGCCCATTGGCTAGCAGAGATAGCCACGCTTTGGGCAGGCTGGAGCTGATGTGAAGTTCCGAGGCCGCTGGACAGCAGGAGGGCTTGGGACCAGGGAGTGGACACTGGTGGCTGTGGTGGGAAGGAGGTCTCCAGGACCTAACCTGCATGTGGAGTGCTTGAGAAGATTACGCCTAGGCCAGGCGGAGGCTTCAGAGTTATTGAGGAGTTGGTTGGGAATATGTGGCTAGGAGTGGGTGCCACAGGATATTATCCCCACCTGCAGTGGCTGGAAACTCCTGCCAGCATTCTGCTGAGAAGCTTGCT